GCACACGGATAGGCCATACGAAGTCAGGACCAAGAACAAAGGCAAGCTGGAGCTGACCATACCACTTGTGGACTGTCTAAACGATAAAAAAAACGTGTAAAGGACAGGGCCTACCACCTCGGCAAACCTCATATAGGTGGGCTACCTGTCCATTCACATAAGCTTCATACAGAAAAACAGGACGAAGCTCATGCGTTCCAAATTGAAAGCATAAACTGCTTATATACGAACGCCGCGAGTTTACCAAACAAACTGGATGAACTACGTGAACTTAGCAACGCTAGCAAGGCCCATCTGATAGGAATATCTGAAACCTGGATATCTTCTCAGTTCTCGGATCAAGAGTTAGCATTACCTGGGATGACTTTGTTCCGCAACGACAGAAAAATAGGAATTGGGGGCGGAGTAGCCATATACATAAGCTCTTGCTTGGAGGTGCACCAGGTTCACAACCTCGAGTTTAACAATCTTGAGGAATCATATGGTGCTCTGTAAGGTTGTCTAGTACTTCCAGGTGTCTAGTCGGAGTCATTTACAGGAAGCCAACTGCCGACACCGAGTATGATAGTCGTATGCTGGAAGGACTATCCCGCTCTACTCGTCTCGGTTTCACACACATCCTGATTCTAGGGGACTTTAATCTCCCTAGAGTCAACTTCGCGGAACACACGTACACTGGAGGCGACAACTCAATTGAAGCTCGGTTCTTCAACCTCATCGATAACTTGGGCTTATATGAAAATGTGAGGTCGAAAACTCGTTGGAGAAACAGTCAGACACCATCGCGCTTAGACTGTGTATTCACTAACGAAGAATTCCTAGTCGACAACCTCTCAATCCTGGCTCCTCTGGGAAAAAGCGATCATGCCGTCATAGCCTTCAGTTTTGTCATCAAAACTAAGCTAAGGTATCCCAACAATAATTTGCGATGGAATTTTAAACGGCTGAATGTGCGAGCTCTACATGACTATCTACAACAGGTGGCTTGGGATGTTCACCCTCAAATCGATGTGGATGGTCATTGGGACTTCTTGCTGCACACGCTCTTACGTGCTACAGACCATTCAGTTCCTCAAACGGTCCCCAAAAGCTTCAAGCCACCTACAGTAATCAAGAACCGTACCCTTCGCCTCCTAAGCCGCAAACGGCACTGTTGGGCGGAATACAAACGAACTAATAACGATGGAGCGTATAGGCAATACAAACATATCAGGAACACATGCACGAAGGCTATAAGAGAAGACAGGCTTCAGTACCAAACAAAGCTTATGGACAAATTCGCCTCTAACCCTAGAAGCCTATTCCGTTATGCAGCCTCTCTTCGTCAAGCCAAAACAGGAGTTTCTCAACTGCTAGGACCTAACGGCCCGACCAACAACGATGGCGACGCCGCCAACCTTCTGGCGGCCCATTACTCTCAAACATTTCAACCGGCTGATATCAACTTTACTGACGACAGTTTCATCTGCAATTCCACAGGACTTTCTGAAGTGGACCTAAGCGCTGACTTGGTGTTCCGGAAACTGCAGCACTTAAGACTTGACACTTCTCCTGGCCCGGATATGGTTCATCCTGCCATACTGAGGGAGGCAGCCTCAATCCTGGCAACGCCGCTTAGCGTGATGTTTTCACACTCGCTTAGCCGAGGCAAACTACCGGAAAATTGGAAGTTGGCTCACATCACACCAATTTTCAAAGGTGGTCGACGCAATGAACCTTCAAGTTACCGGCCGGTAGCTCTTCTGTCGTTACCTTCAAAACTCATGGAGTCCCTGATATGCGACGGTTTAAACGACTATCTACTGTCCTTAAATTTCTTCTCACCCCAACAGCATGGTTTCAGGAAGGGTTACTCTTGTATAACCAACCTGCTGACTGCGGTGGACAGATGGACAAGCATCCTCGATCGCAAGGGAAAGGTTGATGTCATTTACCTTGATTTCTCAAAAGCTTTTGATAAGGTTAATCACTTGTGTCTTATCAACAAGCTCAAACGACTAGGTATCAAACCACCTCTAATCGACTGGCTTAATTCATACCTAAAAAATCGACACTTTAAGGTTAGGGTTAATTTCACTTTATCTCAAGCTATGGAATGTCCTAGTGGGGTCCCCCAGGGCTCACTATTAGGGCCTCTTCTCTTCTTGATCTACATAAATGATCTTCCTCAACAGGTAACGTCAGACTTATTACTTTTTGCCGACGACGTGAAACTTTGGAGAGAGATACGCAACCAAGACGATATACAGGCACTTCAAGAGGATCTGACTCGACTTCATAGTTGGGCAGACGATAACGGACTTACCTTTAACACTTCTAAGTGTAAAGTAGTCCATCTGCGACATGTCGCAAACTACAGTTACAACTTAGGAAACTCCTCTCTAGTAGTATCCCAAGTCGAAAAAGATTTAGGAGTCCTGGTGCCCCATGACTTAAAGTCTTACGCTAACTGTGACAAAAATGCCTTCCGAGCAAACCTTGCACTGGTAACGTTGAGGCGCATTTTTGGTCAGTTTGACGGAAGAACTTTCCACACAATCTTCAATAGTTTCATCCGTCCCCATTTAGAGTACGGAAACATAATACTCCCCCCCTCACTCCAAAAGGATAAGGTCACTTTGGAGCGTATCCAACGGCGAGCCACGAAATCAGTTCGAGGACTCAAATCTAAGCCTTACGAAGAACGCCTCCGTTCACTATACCTTTACCCACTAGAATATAGGCGTCTTAGAGGTGATTTATTAATGGCTTATGGTATTCTTAACACTTCTGGACATCCTCTTAAACACCTACTTAAGCTTAGTTCGAACAATAACCTAAGGGGTAACACCCAGAAACTGGAAACACAACATAGCAAGAGGGAATGCAGACACAACTTCTACTCCTTAAGAGTTGTCAAAATCTGGAATTCACTACCAGCCGAGCTAGTCCAAGCGACTTCTCAGGAGTCCTTCAAGAGGCAACTTGACCTATTCTTAAGGACCAAGGACAGCATCGCACTATGATTTACCAATTTCTTTTCCTCTTTTATTGTTAACATACCTAGGTTCCTGCCTGGAGGATTTGGTGATCCCCTGCTACTAGACACGGAAGCCTGTTAAGCGAAAGCTTCTTCTATTCCGTCCACAACCATTTGAACTGGTAAATACTCGGGTTACTTTGTGGTAGTATTTTCTTACTCGTAAGCATCTGTATGGTGCAAAAATTATTGTTTTACATTCTACATTCATAGTGTTCTTGTTAATTAATCATGGATCAGCCACATGGTTCTCTTCTACCTATAAGGTGTTTATCTCGTTAGCGTTACTTCTTAGTTCTGTGGATATGTTCAGGATTTCAGTTTTATTTATTGAATGACTTGACTCGTGAAAGTGCAACTGCAAAATATTCACTTGCTGTTTTGCGTTTTATCCTGCTTATCATGCGAACGAACGTAAGAAGCTGCATTAGCGTCCAACAGCCAGTAAATGATATGCCCTGATGTTACCTTGAGATCAATACGATTTAGACCAACTGGTCAATATTCGAACTATATCGATGCAACTGCTGTCAGACTGATATCCGATCAAGTGAGTCTCGAAAAACTCCCAAACATTACTTTTTTTTTAACCAACACCATACTCTTAGATTACAATTGGATCTCATGACAGACAAATAGATGTCAGTCATGTACGAAATCTACCTTTTAAAACCAGACAAATATCATGACGACAACAAGCATTGTGTAACTTGTATATAATCTCAAGCTTTGAAAATATAATTCGCTTGCACACACTCGAAGGATGTTTCTCCAAGTAATAGACACACACAACCACTACACACATCCATCGCAAATGTTATCAGATTAACATAAATTACATATCTGCAGAGGAACCGTGTGCAGGGTCAACAAATAGAACTAAACAACCGAAAGACGTGGTTTTACACCTTTATTTAGTCCACGATGTTTGTATACAGAGATCGCAATAAACTAGTAAACCACCCGTCCTTCGAAAGAGAACTGAAGAAAACTGCAATTTCAACGAATTGAAGGCCATGACATGAAGAATACAATCTTGTGGCTTCTTATAAATATGATGTGCCCCACTCTTGTACAAAGTGATCGTCTGGTGCTTTCAATGTCGGTTCAACATTGATCTGTCCATGATCTCATTAGACATTCAGCGATTTCACAGTGACAAAATAATATAATAGCCCAAGTACTGAGTCAAAAGGCTAGACAGAGACTGAAGCACATGATAACACTTACGTGACACAATCAGTAAATTGACAGGCAGTCCACACGTGACGAGGCCGGAGTAGAGATCAGTAACAGTGAATGCGCACTAAGTCGTCAGCAAGTTAAGTGTTCATCCATCCACTCTTGGAGGTCATTCATTTCATTTACCAGCCACACATAAATACCCGCATCAAGTTACTTTGCGAATCATCAGCTAAAGAGAAGTGTATCTCACACACTAAGGGACGATAGATAGAGTTGTTTAGAGTAGAAGTTGTACCATCCCAATAAGATATTACTTCATGTACACACTAGCCACGTGACAGGTCAGCGAGTAGAATCATTTTCAAGTAACTGTTCGGAATGTGCTGAGACTTAATGTGGCATATCAGTAACAAAATCAGGTGAGAACGTAGGAAGTTGACAACTGCACCAAACCACTTCGAATGTTTAGTCTCATCGCATTTTGACCCAGACATGGTTAGCAGAATAAAATACTACAGGAAATGTAAATCCCCTACTCAATCCGTCCCAAGAGAGGCGCATATCTCATCCGAAGAAAAGCACTGCTCGTCAGCACGTACTACCCAGTCACTGGACGACAGTACAATACAGTGAGATAAAATATACTACAGCCAGCCCAGTCTCCTGTATCCACCAACTGAGACTCCACCGAATTCCAAATATTGAAGACCATATCCGACACTAATAAAATAAAGCTTCAGCAGGTTCAATCTTGTAGAGGAAAAACCCATTTTTAACTACAAGAACAACTTAAAACTGTCAATGAATCTAGAGATTTATCAAATGATACTTTAATCTACTTCGTCTAGCTTTCGATTCTTTATCCAGAATAATACACTAAAGTCTATGAAACTAAACGATCACAAGAGGAAATTCTACAATTTAGAAGCAGATAACTCATCATTTGAATACAAATAAAAATGTAAAGATCAAATTCGGTTACAAAATTGTTAGTTCACAAAAAACGAACTTGAATAGAAAGACAAGATAAACAGTAGAATAACTGAGGGCAATGAATGAAGTCAACAGTTTAATGTAGGTACACACGAACGCATGCACGCATCAAATTATTCATAAAATAAAATAAAAAATGAACATAGCAACAAAACAAAATCATGTAAAAAATAGAATAGAATCCAATGCAATTGGTTACAATGATTAAGTCATTGTACCAAATACAGGATTATGACGGCATATTGCTGGACCAATTTCTTCATATTGAGCTTTAGTATGGCATACATTATAAAATTCACTCTGATTAGAAAAGGAAAACAGTTCAAATGAAGATAGTAACTCATGGCCAGACAACTATGAGAGAATCACTTAATTTTAATAGTCGAGATCATGAGTCAATTGGAGCTAGACCACCATTGAAATCCTGGAAGAACTGGACAGCCGTTTCGTCCTATTGTGGGACCCCACGCGAGGCGGGATCGTGGATGCATACTGCTGAGGAGTCCTACAATAGGAAGAAACGGCGACCCAGTGCTTCCAGGTTTTCCATGGTGGTCTTGCTTCAATTGACTCATGATCTAAACTATTAAAATGACTATGTTATTCACAAAACCCCTTCTGATATTAATCATTTAATTATTAAACGAATGAAAAATAACATCAGATAATCACTCTTTTCGATTGACTCCAACCAATTGAAGCCAAAAATAATACAATGTAATGTTAATTTATTTAACTTAGCAACTTCAATCAGCAAATCAATTGGTAAACTGAAATGTCTGTTATAACTAAGTGATATAATTTGAGTAAGACAAATCTGATCACACATATACGAAAATTGAAAAGTCAAGCTGAACAAATTGATGGATAGGGGGGGAACATAGATAATAAAGAAAACAATGTAGATCATATGACACTGGATATTAAATCGTTCGGTACATAGGAAGACTACATCCACAGGGCAATACCTTAGATTTCATAGTCACTGTCTAATCAAGTATAAACTGGGGATAATAAAAGAATTAATTTATTAATATCCACAAAACCCATCTGATATTAATTAAGATATGCTCGCTAGTGACTGGCTTCACAATGTATATCCTAGAGTTCTAGTGAGAAGTAGTGACCGGTGGACTTCGACCGGGTCTGTTGTGAAATAGTAACTCATTGATGACAATGGTGGATGTGTCGCCCAATTTCGTGAATTAGTTGATGTTAGACATTAACGCCATTAAATCCCGGCTCAGTGGTCTAGTTGGTCAAGCGCTTGGCGCGAGACTGATAGGTCCTCGGTTCGAATCTCGCGGTGTGAGGAATCGTGGGTGCGCACTACTGAGGAGTCCGATACTAGGACAAAACGGCCGTCCAATGCTTCCAGATTTTCCATGGTGGTCTAGCCTTCAACTGACTCATGATCTTAACCATTGGAATTAATTTATTGTTGGACTTTGTCGTCTTATTGTATTATTTAAACTTATCACAGGGACTAATTGTCTTAAACTTTGATATACTCAACACGAAATACAATGGAAGACTAATTGCTATCTAATCACCAATTATACTATATTTAGAGTAGAAGATAGTTGAAGACGATCGGTCTCATGCTAGTTAGATCATTCACCATCAACAACGGGTATTCGGAATCTTGATTGAATTGATGTCCACAAGGAATTCGAGTCCATGTCGCCCAAAGTCGCAGTCAAATGAGTTGCTACTACCAACCTATTTGAGCTACAACTAGATCCTTCACATGACTAATAGATATCAACTGATTGATCACTGACCTATTTGTGTAGTAAATTCTTCAAACATATTGTTTTCAAATGCAGCATTGAATATTCCAAACACTATGAAGTGTTCACAGCTTATTAGGTGCATATCAATCAAACAATTTCAAATATTGAAAGGAAAAAAAAAGAAAGAAATTAAACACAACATTTAAAACTCGACAATCTACATACTTCATTAGCCAGTACTGATCCACCAAACCAAACAGCATAACGTTGCATAGGATGTGAAACTACTTTAACATCAATAGATTTCGGCTAGATAATGATGAACAAATAATGAATAAGCAATATGATATTGTCAATTAATGTATCCTTATATGATAAATACAAATAAGGAACTAATTTTGAACTATATCAAAAAATATTACTTCTTCACTGAATTAACATAAATGATGAAAACATACAACATTGAGATGGATACTGATTGTTGAGTAGCCTAAAACTCCTTGAAATTCTATACAATATCGATGTCACATCATCAAGGATTCAGTTTATAATATTCATATTTACATGAAGTCAATGACAAGTGGACATGTTGGTCATGTTGGTAGGTTTAGACTACCTGATAGCAACCGATGGTTAGAGACCCTGAATGACATGGCTCAAAATCGTTTGCAGTGGTGAGTGCAGGTGCATTCACTCTTCGTGTTCTCCCAAATCTTAATTTCCTGAATCCTCCTTGTCTCTTTTTTTACTTTCCAAATTTATTTCACTGAATTATACTCTTTAAATAACATCTTCAAACCCTAATCTTTCCGATTACTGCTTATACTTTTACCGCCTATACCACTACGGGATTTGAATCGACCACTGCATCTCTGTGCTAATGTGGTGTGGCAACTCGGACTGATGTATGTACGTACGAAATTCTACGTTGTTACTGACTGACTATTTTACAAGTAGCATAATAACTTTGAACAAATAAGTTGGAATTCAATTGTTCACCGTTTAAACTTTAGTTCGTTTTCCCTAGAATACAGTTCACTACATCATGATATTATAGAAACTCTAATAGGATTGACTTTATAGATTAGGGTTATTAATCAGAACTTCATGTAAGTGGTTAGGAATCTAGTCAATCAATAAATCCATCACCATTACCTAAAAAAGGTGTTCAAGAAAACCTGGGTAAACAACCAATTAGAAGTGATGATGGGCAAGATTATAATTTATGGACGAACCAATCAGGTATAAGATAACAGGTCATGGATTTCGGCACGAAATTCACTCGTTCATTCGGATATATCGAGTTTTGGCATTAAAACTGATGCCAGTTCCTGATGAAAACCCTAAATCTAATTTCTAACCTTAATCATCAACTGTAAATCATAATTCTAATTCCTCACACTAATTTATAACCCTCATTAAGTGGACATTCCCAATGTCAGTCTGGCGTCGCTTAAAGGTCGTCCATAAATTGTAGTCTCACCGCGCTTATGTCAAAACGAATTTATAGGAAACGTGGAATAATTTTATGCCTGAAGTGGTTACAAATGATGTTGTTTAGAATGACAATTAAAACGTTGATAACCAAGCTTTCCATTACTGATAACGTAAAACCTTCAATAGAATTAAACACTTATCTAAATTGATAACAGATGGTCAGAGATAGCTGACAGTAAACCTTGTGCTCAACCTAAATTTTGTGCTAGTTAACACTTGTCAATAAGGCATAGTTACAATCTTGAAGGAACTGGTAGTTTCAGTTGGATTTGAACGACTTGCATAGTTTATGATGTTAATATTGATTTATTCAAGCTGTGACTGACGAAATATTTAAACTGGTTAATCACTGAGTAATAGTTAATCTTATACTTTTCTTGAAGATCAATTTCTATCAGTCAAACTAGATATTTTAGAATACAGAAATATCCACATTGTGATTCATCGAAATTGGTTTCTAAGGAAAATAGTTTCAAATATGAATAGATTATTGATTTAATGCTATGAGCTTCCTGTCAACCAATATCAAAGTTACAATCTTTAATACGAACATCAAGACAGTTCTACTATAAGGAGCTGAAACTTGCAGAATCAATACAACCATCATCAAGAAATTTTCACAGATTGAAATCATGAGTCAGTTGAAGCTAGATCACCATTGAAAACCTGGACGGCCGTTTCGCCCTGGTATGGGACTCCTCAGCAGTGCGCATCCACGAACCCGCACCACCCGGGGCTCGAACCCAGGACCTACTGGCTCCGCGCGCGAGCACTTAACCATTAGACCACTGAGCCGGTGCAAGTATTTATAAATAGTTGTCTACACAAGACACTCAATATCCATTGACCGGATATACCAGCCTTCTGTGCGAGAGAACGAACCAACTTCGAGATAAAGAGAAAATTGGGAAAAGACGATGGGAATGGATAAGCCATACATTACGGAAATCATCAAACTAAATCACGAGACAAGCCCTAACTTAAAATCCTGAAGGGAAGCGTAAAAGAGGAAGGCCAAAGAAGACAATACGTCGGGAAATAGAAGCAGATATGAAAAAGATAAATAACAACTGGAAAGAGCTGTAAAGGATCGCCCAGGACAGGATTAGATGAAGAGTGCTGGTGAGCTGCCTATGCTCTTCTACGAGGAGTAACAGGTGTAAGTAAGTAAGCATGAGTTTCCTTTCATCTGCATCACAATAACTTGTAAGTATACATCATTGAGATTATTGAAAGACTGAAATTCTAAATGATAGAAGTAATAAACATAGAAAAATAGTCCGTAAAGTATAGCAATAAAACACTGAAATAAATATGAATATTCTATTACCTTAACTCGTCCACCAGTAAGTTCTTCTGTTAATTTTAAACGATTATCAACATTTCGTTTAATATCTCGTTGTAAACGACGATCAAGATGTTTGAACATTGAACTGCCTCCTGATAAAACAATATTCTGACATGGAATAAAAAAACGAAAAAAATTCAGAGTATATTTCTATGCTACCGGCTAAGTTTGATCAGTGGCAGGTGAAACGGGGTGTGTAAAAAAGATGCCTCCGAATGCCGAGAGTCAGCTCTCCCTCTCGAAATGCTCTCAAATGGCCACGTGTATATAATCATTGTCAGTGAAGTCCTACTCACTGCCTTCTCGCACCACGGGTGTTGTTTACGAAATTGAGAAGATGAAAAGCGAGTGCCCAGCGCCTTAACCTGGTTAGTGGATACGGAGAATCCACGTAGGAGAGTTGGAAAACCCTGATTATAAACCAATGGTGTAGATGGTATCCAGGATCCTAAGGAAACAAATGGGGTATGAACCTACTGTTGCTCACCGGCTATGATGATACTGTGTCTACAGACTTTGCTTCACTGCCTTGTAGATCAGACCTTTAGGTCGAAGTCTCAGGGTGCGACCCTCTAAGAAATCCGCTAGCTTTGGTTTGGGCACCCGAGAAGTATCTTAGCCCTCACATAAATCGAATGATTTGTGCGGCGAATATGTAGTTAGTGCCTCGTTGTACCAATGTTTATGTGCAAACGATTTTGAGCCATGTCATTCAAGGTCTCTAACCATCTGTTGCTATCGGCTTTCGGATCCCAACCAGGTAGTCTACACCCACCAACATGGCTCAGTCCAACTGTCAGTGACTTCATGGATTTGCGCCGTGTTTTGGTGTGGCAACCAATAGCTATTTTCCAACCTACTCCAAGACCATAAAACATCGCACGTCAGGGCAGTCCCTTCATACACATTGTTTCTATTTCATCTTTTCAAATCACATTCTCAATGTTAAGTTTTTCTCATCATTATCGGTACTAAGATTAATTCCACTCATTTGCTGTTAACTACGTTGATTATAATTGACTAAGTATTGCAATAAGCCATGAAGAAAGAACATTGGAGACAGACAACAAACAGGCGATGGCAGTTGTTTGAATTAAATATACCTCTCATACGTAAATCCTTAAGCACAATTTATTTATTACTGGCACGTTTATGTATTCGATTTAAGGCCACACTATTCAACTTCTGAAACCACAGAGGATGGGTGAATTTTTTCAACGTATGACTTAGATATTGGTAGTTGAAAGTTTTTGATAAGTCTTTCATTTGAGCGCTTGATTTGATTCCTTAGACGCTACTAGTAAATCCAGGCTAAGTTTACACACCAGGTTGAACACAAGGAAAAGGCATGAAGTGTGAAAAGAACGCTTTACTCAAAGGTTAGTTTATGTACAGAAAAAACGAGGGTATTTATGGTATTACAGATGACTTTAGACTTATGGGGTTTTCGGAACCCTACTAAATATACTAGCATGATACGTAAATGTCCAATCAGAAACATGACTCTCTATTTTCTAGATGTTTGTGAGAGACTTCTACTTAACACTGATTGCATAAAAAGTCTCCCAGAGTTCTCTGACACCCTAAGGACTTTCTGAGTGCTCTGAAATTCCCCAATAGTTTTAAGTATTACGCTCTCTATATTTATGTGTGCATAAAATGGATATCGACTAAATTCAGCATGTATGATGGTGTCTATCTCACTAACAAAAACAAACGAGCGTACCTGAACAGTAAACTTGATATGAGCCGACTAATCAGTCAATTTAAACATCGAATATAAGATTAAACATTAATATTACGGATTAGATACTTTTTAATTTTATAAGTAGTCAAGTCTAGGTATTGAATCTCAAACTCAATGGTGGTATAAGAAGCAATCGTGACCACACAACTACACATGATCTACAGGTCTTGAGTATAATTTTGTAAACGAGCACTCGCTGACGTATTTCATTCACTGAGTATTCTGGTGACATTTTCTGATTAGCACTTTACTCTTAGCAAGCTTTCTTATTTTACGAGATAAGGTTGTTAACCCCATCCTCAAACCTCATCATATTCAGGCTTAGGACTAGGAGCAACGCTAGAATGGCTTCAGATGAGGTTTTTCACAAGTTTATATACTTGACTGTTTTTGTAGTACGGCGATTGGTTCAACTATTCGACTGTTTCAATTGAATTCAATGGAAATAAGGGTTCGAACCCCATAGATCTCGTTTCCAAAACCTCTTTCATAGTTGATATCAATCAGTAATGAATTTATATCATATTGATTAAAATTATTAACCTTAAAAGTAGAAATTTGTCAAATGTTCTCTGTATTCTCTATTTCTCAAAAATGATTGAGTGTGCAAGTAAGTGATTAAGTGAGCGCGTATCACTTTGTAACCCAAACACATGAGTACACACATACACATACACACAGAGAATGAATTCCTTTCAGTTAATACGATAGAAATATTATGCAATGAATATAATAAACAAACTAATCAATTAATCTTGTTTTCTTCTATGTATTAAATTCTTTTAGGCGAAGCAGTGATGTAGTGTTGATAGCCTTCGATTTTCAGCTGGTAAGTCACGAATTTGAACTATGATTTACGTACCTCGATTCAGGCAACTAGTTAGTAGTATCGTTAGTCCTCACATTTAGAATGTGGCTGGGGTATGAGGTTCATTAAATCAAATTGGCATTATGTTTGTGAATCAATGACAAGACAAACCCGCGTAGGGCCATTCTAGGATTATTGCCTGCCCTAAACCTGGATAAAGGGGGAAGGTTAGGCATGGGGTTAGCAACCTCAATTGCTAAGACAATGCTAACCAGAAAACATCGTTTAAACCATTTAGAATCTGACCTAGGAGTTGAAGGATTTCTATTTATGACGTCTCATAGTGAAAACCAAGATTCTTCGGAAATTACGAGGTCGATGCCCTTTCTGACAATCAGAGTGATAATTGTGATAGCTATATGGAATATCCAGATAATGTGAGGGACCGAGAAAACCATTCAAGAAGCTTCCGAACTGAAAAATAACCGCAACATCTATGATTATGATATTATGTTGAATACAGTAGGCTCGAATCCCACCGGGAAGATCAGTTTTTCAATGCTATAAATACTCCTTGTTAAACATTAAGAAAATTAAATCGAGCAGGACTTTCGAGACAACAGACTAACCAAATACAATAGAGTTTATTATTATTATTATTATTATTATTATTATTATTATTATTATAAACTTACACCATAAAGTCCACGACGTGAATCAATTGGTGATTTCTGAATTACTTCATCGACAACATCACTTAATGAAGTTGTAAAGTCTGGATTAACAAACTAGAAAAGAAAAGAAATAATAAATATCAGAAGGCGTTTTGTGGAAATTGTAGTAATTAAAATGGTTGAGATCATGAGTCAATTGAAGCTAGACCAACATGGAAAACCTGGAAGCACTGGACAAGCGTTTCGTCATATTGTGGGACTCCTCAGCAGCGCACATCCACGAGCCCACCTCGTAGGATCCGAACGCGGGGCCTATCAGTCTCGCGCGCGAGCGCCTAACTACTAGACCACTGAGCTGGCATCCAACGGATGTTAATGTCTAACTTCAGCCAACCCACGAAATTGAGCGACACATCCACCATTGTCATCAGTGAGTTACTATCTCACAACTGATATACATTGAAAATATTGAACTAATTCAACAAAATGGACTACTCGGTCCGCAACATAATCAATAATCTAAACAAGTTTATGCATAAATTAACCATTGAACATTTAGTTAACTTAATATCATTATTAGTACAGGTTTGAATCATTCCACTAGAAATATTTAAGATTGAGTTTTGATTAGTTGTTCAATAGGAGAGATGATCAGTTTTATTAAGATTCTAGAAACATCATACCTGTTGTTGAACAAGTGCATAGTTACTTGAATTCAGTAGCTTAGTAAATAATCTGAGTTTAAGGTTAACAGTACATCGTTTGGCTTTCTCTTGTATTGTGATTAGTGCCTAGAGCTTCGAGGAATCCTAAGTGGGTTGAAAAGCATTAGCACTATCACATTAATGAATCAAATCATCAGTATGATTGGTTCAAGAATAGTAGACTCAAAGTCATACTGTGGTATATACTACTTATGTCTGTCGACATAATTAGTATTTAACACCAATCAGAAGTGAAATGCCTAGTAGCAGAAGTTTGAGAGAATCGAATTGAAGAGAATGGAAATGTAAACAGAGAGTAATCGTAATAATAATGAAGGAACATTTGCAAATGAAGTACTTAATGTATGGATTATCACAAAAGAATTGTGTAATTTAACATTGAAAAAAAATTGGTTATCTTCAATTGAGTATTAGTTCAGTATAATATTGGGTATTCATTTGTTATATCCCGATAAGCATAATGACTGGTAACCTCGGGATCCTTTTATCAGTCAGTCAGCTACAACGTAGGACCAGGCACATATATGCATCGGTCCAAGTTGCCATATCTCATTAGCACAGCAAGATGAACACCGGATTCATAAAAGTAGTTAAGTCAATGGTGGTAATATATAAAAGAAAGATTGCATATAAGGACATACAGGAAGAAAGAATCAGTTGGTAGAAAGAAAGATATGAAGTGATTTTAATCTCTTAGTTTAAGGGAAGACAAAGAGTGTATACACCTACGCCATCGTGATCGATTTGGAGCCATGTCACCAAGAGTCTCCAACCATTGGTTACGATAGTCAAGCGGACCCTAAACAAGTAGTCTACATCTACCAACATGGCTCAGACTAGAAGTTAATGTCTTCAAACACTGATGTCACGTTTTGGTCTGACTTACATGTGACTTATTAATTCCAGTTTCTTCTATTAGTCTGTAGAGCTGTCTTGTGTTCCCTATAGCCGCCGCCTTTTCCATCTCTTTTGCTTTCGTGCCCACCACTACTCACGGTCGTTCCTTAGACTTTTGTTTCACTTAGATCTGATTTGTTTACGCTCTTCATCGTGTTCAGAACCTGATGAGATAAGTTTACGAGAATCCATCAGTGCAATAGACCTTGAAGAAATCCATTGGTTCTTTGTAACCCTGTGGTTTAAATCGCTAATAGATGTCACTACTGTTTCCACAGCTGTTTGTATATCTTTCCAAGCAATATCTGGGTCAGCCTCGTTTTCAGAACTACCTAAGTGTGGCCTCAGTTCTTCGTGGAACCTACTTTTGGTTTTCTTGTTACTCAATTCAGTTCTAATGGGTCTTTTTACTGTGGCTTTTTTGCGACCAGTGAGGCGCAAGCAGATGCATGCCCGTATTAGGGCATGGTCGGATCCATTTATGGACCAGTACTATACGTATATTTTTATCGTATAATTGCTAAATAACTAAACTGTTCATATTCATGTCCCTCTTATTATGAGCTTTATTTTGACCTACCAACTATTATTATACGATTTACCACTCTTGAATTATGCCCAGTCTATTCATTTCAGTCCCCCACATTCATAGCCACTTTTGGCCAAATATTGTACAAATGTTTCCTATTTTATGGTACAGTATGATCTGTCTGGTTGGTATATAAACCGAGTATGTTTGAAATAAATGATTCATATCGCACAGAGGCTGAGATTGGTGTTCGAAACTTAACAGGCTGTGTTAGACAGGAAGTAGAACCGATAAGTAGTACTCTAGACTACTCGTACGAGTTTTAGGCGTCATTGATCCGATCGATAATTCACTGCTCCTTAATTAGCGGTATCATTACGTTCTACATTAAGCAAGGTATTCAAGTCATAACTTATAAGATCAATGAAAAACAACAAATCATTATTGATCTAAAAAACTAATCATCTAAATCATATGTATATCTTGTAATAATAATACTATTCTCTTTGAAATTGATTATAAAAGAGGTCATCATTACCATTAAAGCTTTTCAGATAATAAAATAACTTTAAAAAAAAAGAAGAATAAATCATAATAAAGAATTGAACATACTTCAGGTTGAAAAAATATTTCTGGACCTAAGAAACGTTCATAACCGACATCAACAGAAAATGATGGATATTTAGCTGATTTAGATACAATATGTGGTTTAATCCATTTATCTGGTTCACTATCATATTTAGAAAATTCTTTAGGTAAATCAGGACAAACATATGAATAACTAAAAGAAAAATATGGAAAAACAAGAAGAATATTGATATACATATATATGTATCAGAAGGGGTATGTGAAGATTTTAGAAATTTCACAGATTGAAATCATGAGTCAACTGAAGCTAGACCACCATGGAAAACCTCGAAGCACTGGTTGAAGTTAGACATTAACACCGTTGGATGCCAGCTCAGTGGTCTAGTTAGTTAAGCGCCTGGCGCGAGACTGACAGGTCCTGGGTTTGAATCTTGCGGGGTGCGGGATCGTGGGTGCGCACTGCTGAGGAGTCCCATACTGGGACGAAACGGCCATCCAGTGCTTCCCGGTTTTCTATGGTGGTCTAGCTTCAATTGACTCATGATTTCAATTTGTGATATATATATATATATATATATATATATATATATATATATATATATATATATAATTTAATTTTGACTTAGTATTAATGATACTACTTAATTAAATCAGTAAAAAATTGAACGTTCAGTGATTAGATCAAATTGGTAGATACGAAAGTTTCAAGTAGAACAATTGAAAAAGTCTGATTTCAAAGCAGATGATATACATGAAATTCAGGGGTTGAAGGAGATGAATAGTATATGAAACTAATTTGGTCAATGGTTATTATTGACTAAGTTTTCTAAAGTTGCTTTATGGATTAGACCTTAAGTTTAAAAGAGGTGAGATATCCATCTATCAGTTAAGGGATGAGTAAACTGCGGCTGCGAAACGTGGCCATTAAAAGTAGAAGATACTCGTAAGTTACTAGTATTTGACCACAGATGCCTTAGAAACATTGCTAACATCTGCTGGGATCACTGGGTAAGTAATAGTGAGATTAGACGCAGGGTATTAGAGAATGATGATGGTAAACCAGTTGATGAGGTTGTGAATCTTCATCGACTGAGATGGTTGGGCCACGTGTTGCATATGCCTGAACACCAATTACCACAACTCACAATGCTGACTAGTGTTGGGATAGTTGGAAGAAAGTTAGGTGCGGCCAAAACGAAACGTGGCTTGAAGTGTTTGAAGTCACTAACTTCTGGTCTGAGCCATGTTGGTAGATGCAGACTACTTGGTTGGGGTCCGCGTGACTATCGTAACCGATGGTTGGAGACTCTGTATGACATTACTCAGAATCGATCACGATGGCGTAGGTGTATACACTTTCTGTTTTCCCTTAAACTAAGAGATTAAAATCACTTCATATCTTTCTTTCTACCAACTGATTCTTTCTTCCTGTATTATGTCCTTATATGCAATCTTTCTTTTATATATTACCACCATTGACTTAACTACTTTTATGAATCCGGTGTTCATCTTGCTGTGCTAATGAGATATGGCAACTTGGACCGATGCATATATGTGCCTGGTCCTACGTTGTAGCTGACTAACTGACAAGTTTAAAAGTTTAAGAGTGACTCCCTACGAAAACTATCTTCTGTCTAGACAAGTGAGAAGTATTTCATCCCATCCATAAATATGATAATCGAGAATTTCTTATCTTTATTTCCATGACATACATTATCAGTGCCCAGTTGTAGCAGATTTTATGCGTATTAAACAAATAAATGAATTGGAAATCTATCATCACCGATGATTAAAACAAAGTAAAAAGAATATTCAACATGGGGTTGTTTAATTTTATTGAGATTCCAAACCGATCTAAGTTAGAGACCCATTTAAAACCTAAAAGCATTGGACAGCTACTTTGTCCTGGTATAGAACTCCTCAGTGGTGCTCATTTACAGCCCAGCATCCGGGAGTCGAAACGAGGACATTCGATATCACGCACAAACACTTAACCTCTAAAACACTGAGACGGTGTCCAGTTATGCAAAGGCCTTGTTTTAATCAACAGTGATATTGCGCGATCACTTTTCATCGTTTTTATTGAGCACCTCTCTCCTCATGCCCAACATAGTTGAACCCTGCTAGACGTAGCTTATCACTATTACTCTGGGAATTAACTCTAAAAGTTAGTCAATAACAAGTATTTGACAATATTTTAGTACAGCAAGTTGTAGAGATTATTTAGTGCTGCAATCTTATGCTATTGAATGACATTAGGTAGATGGATGTCGAAAAATATTTGAAACTAACCGTTCTTTAATTTGTTTAGCAACCTCCATGCTCAGTTCTGGTGGGATGTTATTTTCACGTTCTCTAAGCAGGTGTTGAATGAAAGAAGTAATGTCACGTCCAGCTATTGGTATATGTTTAATACAAGATCCAATGACATAACCGTCGACTACAGGAATCACATGAGTAACACCGTCACCTGAATCGATAACCGTCCCAGTAAGTGAACGACTGCCAGTTCGATTAGAACACCATGAAGCTGACAACGCTAATACAGCCTGTAAAATTAACAGAGAGATTGAAGTAAAAAATACCAGTGACCCTACCAACAAAATTGTTAAAACACCAGGAATTCAGTTTGTGATATATGCAAGTGAAATTACATCCTTTATATGGGGATCATGTTTACTGATATGTTATTAACATATATCAGTAGCATAGGAGTTCACGTTTCACCTACTTACACCTGTTACCCCTCGTGAAAAAGCATAGGCCACCCATCAGTATTCTCCGTCGAACTCCGTACTGGGCAATCCTTTCCAGTTGTTACTCATCCTTTCGATATCTGCTTCCAATTCTCGACACAATGTTTTGTGAACTTCTTTTCCGTTTCCCTTCACGATTCCAACTTAGTGCTTGCCTCGTGATGCAGTTTGATGACTTCCTCAATGTATGTCCTATTCACTTTCAATGTCTTTTACTAATTTCATCTTCATCCGGAACCTGGTTTTTCCTCTCACACAGTAGGCTGTTGCTGATGGTATCCGGCGAACGGATGTTGAGTATCTTGAGTAGATAACTATTTATAAATGCTTGTACATTTTGGTGTTGGTTGTGGTAGTTCTCCAAGTCTCAGGTCCGTATAGTAGGACTGTCTTGACGTTCGTATTGAGGATTCTGATGTTGATGTTGGCTGAAAGTTGTTTTGAGTTCCATATATTCTTCAATTTTAGGAATGTTACCCTTTCTTCGGAAATCCTTGCCCTTACACCTTCATCAATCCTTCTTGTTAATCGATGATGCTAGCCAGCTACATGAAAGTTTCAACCTCTTTCAGGACTTCTCCATCAAGTATGATTGGGTTGGTGTTCTCTGTGTTGAATTTGAGGATCTTGCTTTCGCCCTTGTGTTTGTTGAGGCCTATTGCTGAAGAGGCTGCTGATACAATGACTGTCTTAACCTGCATTTGCTGGTGTATATGAGATAGAAGAGCTAGGTCTGTGCACGACCGATTCTTATGAAATTTAGCCTGTTGATCACGAAGGTGGGCGTCTACTGAATCTTTCATCCGGTTCAACAACAATATTGAAAACTTTTCCAGGCACCGATAGTAGTGTGATACCTCTGTCGTTCTCACATTTGCCCAGATCTCCTTTATTTGGTATCTTTATGAGGCATCCTTCTTTCCAGTATATCGGCACCTGTTCTTCCTCCCAAATCCTCCTGAATAGAACATGGATCACATTTGTAGTCATTCCTATGTTTGACTTCAGTATTTAAGCTATGTTGTATGGTCCTGCTGCTTTTCCACTCTTGATTTGCCTAATAGCCGTACTAATTTCTTCGATATTTGGTGGAGTGAAATAATGGGAAGGTCTCTAGATGCTGCTTCGATTTCCAGTTAATTCAATGCAGCTGGTCTATTCAAAAGTCCCTTAAAGCGTTCTACCCGTCTGTTCCTCTGTTCTTGACTGGTCTCTGGTTGACTATATTCCTCTGCCGGCTTCTTTGTTGTGTCATGTAGTTGTCTCATATTTCCTTCTCTTGAAGCTTTTTTCCATATATTTCTGCTTGTCAGCTCTAATGCTCCACTTCACTTGCTTGTTTGCTTCTGTGTATTCGGCCTGTGCCTTGACTTTCTCTGTTCATGTTCGAGTGATTTTATTTGCTGTCTTGTTCTTCCTTTTTTGAATCTTATCCAGGGTTTCTATGGAGATCCATTCTTTATGATGATGCTTTTTTGCGGTCCAGAACCTCCTGACACGTTGAAGTTAGTGCTTTTTTGATCACTTTTTAATCGTTGTCCATAGCAGTATTATCTTCTTCGAGCAGATCTTGTAAGGTTTGAAACCTGTTGTTGAGAATTATCTTGAACTCGTTGATTTTGTCAGTATCTCGAAGGAGGGTCGTATTGAACCTTTGTAGTGCTGTTTTCCCAGTTGCCCAATGCTTTTTTAACTTCAATTTCATCGTGACAACCATCAGATGGTGATCTGAAGCTATGTCAGCTACACTCCTGGTTCTCATGTCTTCCATTGCCGTTTAGAATTTTTTAGTGATGCAAATATGATAGATCTGGTTTCCCATGGTGTGACCTGATGAGACCCATGTAGGTTTGTGTATGCGTTTGTGAGGTAATATTGTGCTGCTTATAACCACTTTATTGAGTGCACATAAATTTGTAAACGTATCACCATTCTCGTTCCTTTTCCTCAGTCCACGTCGCCCCATGATATCTTCAGACCCGGTATTGTCCATTACGACATTGGCGTTTAGATCTTACATCAAGATGGTCAGGCCTTTTCCTGAGAACTTCGCTGCGACTGATTGCAGCCTCTCGTAAAATTGATCATTATCGTCGTCGTTGCTATGATTGGTGGGTGCATAACAGTGGATAACATTCATTGTGATTCCCTTGTTTGTTTTGAAGAATGCTTTGATGATCCTGCATCTATGAGATTCCCATCCTATAAGTGCTTTACGTGCTTTTTTGGACAGTATCACTGCAGCTCCCTGTATGTGCAAAGCACTTATGTCTTCATAACCAGAGTACAACAACATCTCTCCAGAATTTAATCTTTTCTGTTCGAGCACCCTCAAGTCATATCTCCTCATTTCTCTAGCTATTTGATTGGTCCTCCCGACCTCCCACATCGTCCGGACATTTTATGCACATATTATAATTGTTGCTCTGGGTGTTAGAAGGGCATTGGCCTCGTAACTTCCGAAGAATCTTGGCCTTCAGCATGAGACGTCATAACTAATCTAAATGGAGATCTTTCAACTCCTAGAGAAGAGTTTAAATTGCTTAAACGATATTTTCTGATTAGCATTGTTTTAGCAAGGTTGTTTCCTACGAAATAGGGTTGGTGACCCCATGCCAAACCCTTCTCCTTATCCCAGGCTTGAGACAGGTAGTAACCCTAGAAGAGCTACAAGAGGGTTTCACTTCCTAAATTTATTAAATTCCCATAGCTTAAAATACATCAGTTAAAAGCTTGTAAAACGGAAAATTAACTCTATGTAAGATCAAGCGTAATGAAGGGATTGGTCGCTGAATGAAAAAGATATGATCTAGTTTTCAGTATTAATCGAAACCTATTGATTAGTGTGTTCATATACATATTTTTATACTTATTGTACGTTGACAAACCAACCATAGATTTACACTTCTCAGTGAAAGTTAATGATAACAACCAGCTTTTTGACCACGACCACAATTACTACCTTCGAATAGTGATAAGGCTTATGTGCACTGATGACCCAATGGAGTTATAGTGGTTATATCCTAACGAAAAATAAATGAATGGTAACTGCTATGAACCGTTTATGGACTATTATTACGTGTAATTTTTTTACTGGATAACTACTAAGTAATTATATTATATGTACATTCATATTCCTTTTATTATAAACTTCCATTTGACCCATAGATTACTATTATACAATTTACTTTTCCTAAGTTATCCCTAATCTATTAGTTACAGGATCTCACACTCACAGATACTTTTGGCCTGATCTCGTATATTTGTTATATTCTATTATATGGTATGATGAGGTCTGATTTGCTCGTACATAAACTGCGTATGTCTGAAATACATTATTCATACAGTGGAAGTTGTGATTGTGTTCTGGACGCAAATGGATAGGGCTGGACAAAAAGAACCAATATGGACTCATAGTTGACTCTAAACCGCTAGTATCACTTAACGCGTCATTGGTTTAGTACAGTGCCAGGATCATTTAAGTCGTGTTCTAATTGACGATTTAGTCACGTGATAATTAACAGGGCAAGGTAACAACAGGGGCACATGTTCCATTAATTCCTATCATACCAGACAGATCGACCGAAGACGATTAAAAGCAACAACTTGATATCCAAAGGTGAAGTCTTGGTGTTACCTTCACAGGGGTGAGACGCAGCAGGGTGCTGCCCTTAGACAACCGGTATCTACAGAGATGATGTCTTTACATAACAGAAGGACGGGGTTAAAAAGACTAGGCCTAAAAGCAGCACACTTCATCTCGCCACATGGATTAAGTCCCACATCAAGGCCTTCAAAATACGGAGCTAATATATTAGGAACTCTTGCAATATTGAATACTAAACATCAAAACTCTAAAGGGTATAGATGTTTTTCAATAAAGCATGAGTTGATATAGATAATGAATGATACATTCATCAAACTAAAGAGTTTTTACTACTATCAATCGTTTCCGAAATTTTGTTACCTAAGATACTTTAACAGTACGAACTTCGCATAGATCCCATAAATCAAAATTCATCAACAAAGATCTATAGACATATAGAAAGGATAATGTTAAAGAACATCTTACCTGTACAGCGATATAAAGACCAGGAATGTTAAACGTTTCAAACATGATTTCAGCTAAGTATTCACGATTTTCTGGTGTATTCAATGGTGGTTCTGTCTAGAAAACAAACAAACCAAAAAAATAAGGTTGAGAAAAGAGGAAAAAACTAAAAAGAAAGATTTGATTTCAATTTTTATTGTACTAGGACTACCATATATGATCCAGTGGGATTTACTCTAACCACAAAAAGAACGGATAAACTTTGACTGTATTAACAATCAAATCACCACACATCTAACTCTTAATATTGCACTTGGATAATGCTTTTTGTTTGACCAGCTACATATGGCTGAATATTTTGTCGACAGAAATGTAACGGTGGAAAACATTATAGAAAGATAAATACACATATGTGGCTAGAAAAGTCAGTTATCAGTGATAATTAAGACCACACTTCATTTTGCACAAAATTCCTTTTTATTGTATATTTATATTTATATTACGGTTGAATGCCCTCTGTTTGACTACATTAGAATCAGTGGATGTTGACCTTAATGAAATACATGTCCAACTTAACTTTGCATACGTTCTGTCGACTTAAAACGTTTGGAATAACGGAATATCAAAAGTCGAATGAGACAGTGTTTTCAGGCACATATAATATTTCAGATACCCATAAATGCGGAAGGATAATGGAAGACACAGATCGGAGAAGGCACACAAGCCTATCCAATGTAATTAAAATTAGACTCAGCATTTATAGGAAAGAAAGATAAGCAAGTATGTAGACACATACAGACTATCATACACACCTGCTCAGTCAGATCATTCAAATGACAAAAAGCATTTGTTATGTATCAGTTTAGATACATGTGCCTTGTTAGCACACATAGTTGGTCAACCTGTAACGAAAAAGCCAAAGGCTCAAACTACTATTTAACATTAAAAACAAAGCTAGATGGTGGCTAGCAGTGGGATCCAGGAAGCGCATTCCGTCCCTACCTATGAGCTAACCTATGTAAACACAACGAGTGTGATTAGACTTTTTTGACATGGTGACGGAGTGTTTATCAAATAACAGTTATTTTCTTTTTCTCAAACCTTTCCTTTTGTCATTATTAGTTAAGGTTTTCAGATACGTTTTTTGGTCTCCAGGTAAATACTTGAAAAATCTACGTAGATACATGGATCTTAATTTGATGTCAACTTCGTATGGTCGGTTCAATGGTACATATACTAAAATTGGAACGATACAGAAAAAATTAACAAACCCCTGCACAAGGATGACATACAAAATTGTGAAGCGTTCCATATACTTTTGCCCCCCAAATGCGCCCGAAAGTGGAGAGAAACCACCCTCTTCTTCGAAATGCTAACATACGGCCACGCGTATATAATTACAGCCAGAGAAGTTCTACTTGCTGTCTTTTCGTGGTTGGAATATTGATTATCAAATTGAAAAGACGGGAGGTAAAGGTCCGGCACCCAAACCTGGTTAATGGGTACGGAGAATCCACCTAGTGGAGTTGGAAAACCCTGATTCGAAATTAGTCGTGCATATAGGCATCACAATTCTAAGAGAACAAGTGCCGCATAAACCTGTTCTTGGCCAATGGCCACTGTATGACAGCAACAACTAACGTTCCTCCACCGTCTTATGGATTAGACGTCTGGGGCAAAGGTTTGGTGAGTGGCCTTCTGGGAAAACCATTAGCTTTGGTTTGGGGACCTGGACAGTATTCCAGCCTACACACAAACTCAATGATTTGTGTGGTCCATAAATATTTCACTGCCTCTTTGTATCAATGTTTATATGTTTAAATAAATAAATAATATCGACAGCACAATGAAAAGATGGGGCTAATCTGATCTGATCTCGTTGCTCTGTAGAAATTTATAAAAGGGACCAACTGCCTCAAAAAAATAATACATTTGATGTTAATCAACGTAAATTCTAGGATTATTTTTAATAATAAAATAAAAAGCATACCAAAAGAAAATAATGATCTTCAGGCTCTGCTCGAAGTAGTTTGAAAATAAGCTGTTCCATGTAACGTTGCATTAAGTCCCAATCTTCAATAATACCATGACGAATAGGCCACTAAATTATGGAAAATAATAATAAGTTTAAATTATCGTATGTTTAAGGCTTTAACCGTTCATAGTATTTAGTTATGATTCCAGACACAACAGTGTTTTCCAACATCAGCCTTATGACCCACTTCTAATTTATCCTTATCAATTGATGTAGATTTTGAATATTAACGGTGGAATGAATAGTGATGTGTTGTTCTTGCTACCGTAATAATAATAATAATAATAATAATAATAATAATAATAATAATCATAAAAGGTTGCCTTGATCTGGATATGTCAGTTATTGATCAAGGCTGATGAAGCTGAATTTCTCCGTTCAATAGTAGCCAAAACCCAAGGACTATCCAAATGATGGCATGAAAATAAACGGAACTACTAGAAAACTTATAAAATGCTATGAAATGGAAAATAACAAGGATAAGGATATTAAACAATGTCAGATTTGATTTCTATGAAAATAAAGTCTTACTGTTTAAGGAGAACACAAAATGATTTTGTGCTAAGACTTCTTTCTAGCATCTCTATTCAACGAGTTGTAACATCTCCAGGACTACATTGCGGTAGTATACCAACAGATAATAATCCGACACAATTGCTATCCATTTCAAAACTAGGTAAATAGGTTCAATCAAAGTGAAAAGTAGCTGACGAGAAAAAGTACAATTTGGTAGTTTCTATAGACATATTTCAGCCTAAATACAACTAAGATAATCTTTCTACCATTTAAATGAATTTCCAAACAAAATGATCAACGACAGCGGTTTTAAATAGAAAAATGGATGACCAAGTCAGGCATTTTGAATGCTTTTGGAGATGTATAAGCGATTAATACTAACTGACTGTTTACACTATGGGTGTTTAGGTTCAAACGAATCGTTAAACCTGTGAATAAAAATCTGTTATTTGCAGATAGGATGATGAGAATTCACGTAAATACCCGATTTTAGACTAATACCGTCTTTGAATACAGTCATGACTGATGTGCTACTTGTCATTCCTCCTAAAAAATCAGCAGTCAACAAGGAAGGGTCGCAAAATTCAATGACTTGGAACGATACATAACATAGATCAGAAATGAGACAAATAAAAGTTCTGCTTTAATTAAATCTCGGATAACCCGTAAACAATTAGATGTAATCTTGCGAGAAGTCAATCTTATTTCACGTAGAATCATTCGAAATGTTTGCTTTGCAAGTTTTACTCTTTAATTTTTCCCTTTTGTTCCTACACTGTATTCACTGTTTGGTATAATGTATGGTTCTATTGTCAGTAAACAATGATACGTGTCCAAATATATATGAAAATAAAGTCAAAGTGGACAGCACTTAAAATTTGGCTTAGTTACTGTAACAATTTAGTGATAGAATATGAATAGTCTGAAAATCAGTAAGAATATTTCTGTTGTTATGAAGCGAGACAACTTGAATTGATAAAATTCCGATGTTGTGATTTTTCAATCTGAGGACCTGGAAGGATATTGAAATGTTATTCTATGACAACGAAGAACGTAATACTTATTCTTGTTGATTGTTGGTTATCGGTGCGTTTAGAACAGGAAGTAACAAGGTAAACATGAATTGTTTACTTATTCTTTGGCTAGATGAAACATGAATTTAAGGTTAATAAAAGCCGGCACAGCAATGTCCTCAATAAAAAGTGGATTGAAGTTGATTACATTAATCAAAACTTGGTAAACGAATTAAATTATTTGAATGTCACAGTGTAAATGTAATCCAACCAGTGACTTTACCGGGATATCGAAACTGAAGGGAACTGATTGAAACCCAAGTTTGTAACTCGGTGGTTGAAAATCCAGTCTTACTATAAATAGGCCACCGTTCCGAGAACACAGACAAGAACCGCAAGTTTACTATAGAAGGATATTTTACAAACATTGCATTTATGTAATGTTCCACCACTCCTTCTAGATTTGGCAATCGTCTGACTGAGAGGCTACTTATATCTATCAGAGTTTAGAAGACCGATGCAAACACGATTTTCAAACAAGATAGCTAACACTAGAAAGAACGACTTTAAAGGTGGAAAATACTTTATTCAACTATCGGCAAATTAGTCACAAGCGAGGTAGAACCTTCCCCATATGTCCTTTGGTCTAAACTACCACAACAGAATGAACAGATGAAATTGTCAAAATGAATACCAAAGTATAAGAGGCGTAAGTAACGGTGAAAGATTAGATATATAATGATTGAAAAAGAATGAACGCATGGAATAAAAATATGAAATAATGTTGGAAGTCGGAATCTAGACGATGACAAACACTAAAAGGATCTGTCCTATGCCACCTAACGTCTCCAATCACCAGTCATTATAATCGTATGGACACCAAACAGGTCATTTTTATCTACAGGGAAAACTGAACGACAGTTAATGACTACATTATCTGACACTTCTTGGATTCAGAGCTTCTAGTTTTTCAACATAAGTCTACTGTGAACTGAACATCAAGGTATGAAGTGATTCGACTTATATAACACATATCTCAACCAACTCAACTAATGAAAAACAACAGTATCACTCACCGACTTGACAATTTAACCTATTCCTGAGCGCATAGCCTTAGAATTGTTCAGTTAGTGGTCTTAATACATACGAGCAATAGTTCGAAAACACCCATGACCAAATACTAGTAGCCTATGAATGTCGTCTACTTCGTTGCAGCCATAAAGTAGGCGAACCGCCGCACTGTATATTTATTTTTTGGTCGGCAGACAGACATTTCATCTAAGCGACAACCAACACATGTTAGCGAAAGCAAACTGGGCTTTCTGAGTCTGTGCTAGCATCTTTCCAAACAGTATTTTGAGGCGACAAGTGGATCCAGATATGCTCGAGAATGACTTGTGTTATGTGAGATATGGAAACCCCGGAATCTCTTATTCTTATCAAGAAACGGGATCATAATATTAGAAAACTTGATAAGACAACTTGGGAAGCAATAATAGATTACGTTAAAAGTAATAAATTTGTACTCCAGAGCAGTTTTCGAGTAGTATATAGACTAAAAAAGTGCGGCCAACAGCGGGGCAATCTTCAGAAAGATCGAAAGCTTATGAATGAACACTCTTAAGCGACCGTGGATCATAATGTAACTAATCTGCACTAATAAGTGCGACGCTGTCAGCCTCGAGAGAACTATTTTGGTAGCCTGAAATAACGCCGAAGTATTCCCCTGCGATGCACCATTGTCTTTTGAGGTTAACGGAATACATTTGTTGCGATATTTTAAATCGATCCTATAGTCGAATAAAAGTGAGTTCCCTAGGTTGATATGTATTCATAGACAGTTAATTTCAGAGCGCTCATGAAAACTCACCTTCACTGAGAAGTCATTTTTTCCCTCGAGAGCGAGTGCTTCATCTCCGATGAAGAAATTTAAATCATCTAAACCAGTTCCAAGTCGTCTAACTTCTCTGGTGCCAACTTTACTGTATTCCTTTACGGCAATGCAAGAAGGAATGATTGACTGAGGTTCTGTGTTCCCAGCATAACCTATTTTAGAGTATCTTTATAAACTAGATAGTTAACGATTTGTGAACCTTACCCTGTGCCATTATCAATTACGATGGCTGGGAGACGGCCGATCATAGTTCAACGTAACGCAATATCCAAAGTTTCCACTCTAGAAATCTTCAACATACAAATCTGGACTTTAGATTCTGATTTGTGTATTGAGAACAGAGAACATGCTGTTTGTGTAATCCGTTTCATAATGAGCTTCTGACAGCGTTTATTCTCTTGAATGAGTCAAGATAGTGAGGTGGACACCACTTCTACGGGTAACAGGTTCCAAGACTTGGTAACACTGTGTGAAAACCTGTGTGCCACGAGTATTTTGTTCGTTCTTGGCTATTTTACTCATCCGCTTCATCCCCTGAATTGTTTTGATATGGTAGGAAGAAAAGAGAGGACATACCAGGTCGGAAGAAAGCTAGGGGCGGCCAGAACAAAACATAGCACAAATCCATGAAGTCACTGACAAGTGGACTAAGTCATATTGATAGGTGTAGACTACCTGGTTGGGATCCGCGGGACAATAACGACTGGTGGTTATAGACCTTAACTGACATGTCTCAAAATCGTTTGTAATGGTGTGCGCAGGTGCACCCACTCTTTATGTTCTCCCGAATTCTAATCTCCTGAATCCTCTTTGTCTCTTTTTTACTTTCCAAATCTATTTCACTGAATTATACTCTTTAAATAACCTCTTCGAATTCTAATGTTTCCGATTACTACCTCTACCACTACGGGATTTGAATCGACAATTGTATCTTTGTGTTAATGTGGTATGACAACTTGAACTGATGTACGTACGTACTAAGTTCTGTGTTGTTGCTGACTGGCTGACTATCTGCTTCAAAATCATTATTTAGTATTCTTTACATCATAATCGGATCACCTCTTAATCTGCCGTAAGAAAACGTTAAGAGTTCTATCGTCTAAAAATCCTCCTTGTACGTCAAACCTTTGGGTTCTAGAGTTCCCTGTATAGCCGCCCACTGAACTTTTCACTGGATATCCGATTCACATCTTGACATAGGGCTTTGCAGCATAAACGCAATTTCCATGTTTGGATCTCACTAAGGTTATGCATACCATAGTGAAAATATTAGTATCTCAGCATATGTCCGTCCTAAAGCCCATAGGGTTCTGAACCCCTTGGCCACGACTGAATGGTTGTTACCGGTGGTCTGAAAACCGTGGCTCACTGAAACCCCAAGATCCCTGTGAGACTGGACTACAGGCACTGACTCTTCCTCTATGCTTTATCTGCATTTGTTTTTACGGCGTGCAAGTAGACATGTAGTGGCATTGGACAATAGCCACACAATCCACAAAGCTGTGAACACGAGACTACTCAGAAAATTGATATTCAATATTTAACTCGAGGAAATACCTAACAATGGAGAAGGCGCGAAGAATGAATTGAATGGACTGGAGTTGATCGAGTGGCATGGCTCGGCCATGCAGGCGTGGTCTCTGCTGAATGTTACCTTATATCTTCTATTCATATTAAATATATTGTTCTTTCTCTAGCCTAACCTTGTTCTACAACATGTATTGGTAATTGATACGATATAGTGAGTTGGTGTAGTCGATGGTGTGACTTCCACGTAAGATCTTATAGATTAGGCAGTTATATCATGACAAATCTACGAATTTAGGATTAGGTCTATTATTAGAGCAGTACTAATATCATAGTAGACCATAATTCTACATTAATGAGCCCAACTAAAGAAACGCAACCTATTATTGTTAATCCTTATTTCCACCTTAACCTTCTCAATCGGATTTTATTTTTGTAAACCCACTATTCTAATAGTCCTTTGATTAATGGTCACATATTATCGTAATGTTATATCTATTAGTTCACATAAGTTACTAGCTCAATCGATAATAAAAGTTGATCATCTATATCAACTAATTAGCTTTCATAGTTCGTTAACAAGCTTTAATAGCATTTACCTGCTTCAGCGACATAGACTTGTTTAGACATCAAGCTCTAGCAAATATAACCTGTAAATAGCGTAAGTATACATTGACTAACAATGCAATCAAGGACTAAATAGTTATCTGGATCTAATTATCAGTGTTCCTTCACTTAACACCTCATCCTGTTTTAAACTATGCACTATCCTGTAATATATTTTCTTCTGACCACTGCCTGCCTAATTTCATATTTTCGAGTTCCATTGCCAAACAACAAGGATGACACTTCTCCAAAAACATACGGTGAGTTTCATCTATAGGTTTTCTGCAATCATAAGTTCATTTTAGATGGTTCGTTCAATAACAACTACACAATTAACTGAATTCATTCGATTGTTCTGATCCGAGCGAGTGGCAGAAACTTCAACACCATCAAGCACCCTGGAATTAATTGCCATACTGCATGATTTATTCTGGATACTTTTGGATCATTACTACTCCTTACGAATGGCGTTATATATGTCGTCCACTGAATAATCTAATTTTCAAAAATAATCAAGGCGAGTTCAACTATTTTATTGGATGATTTCTTTTGTACTTAAGTTGTATATGTTTTCCAGTTGCTTTTGCCATATATTTGTGTCACTAAGCTAAATGCAGTAACTTCTTATGGAAGGTTTATAACGCATCATATTCCCGCCTGAAGTTTCACAAGCAGTCTTAACTTTAAAATTATTTATCTGGTCATGTTCATTATTTTTAAATTGTCATATACGTCAACAACCTGCTTATTAACCTGGCCCACACATACGTTACACTATATCTTCATGTCTTCTAAATTTAGAAATCATCTGAATCGCCTTTAACATTTATCAATAAACCCATCATAGTCGTTGTTGCTAATCGTATTTGGGTTTATGGATTGGTTTATCATATTAGCAGCCTAAAATGCGAACATAGTTTAGATAATAAGATTAAAAATTTAGGTACTGTCAACTGCACTAGTAAAATAACTAAATCCCCAGGTAGCTGTTGGCTAAACAAACGTTTAAAATCAAAACTCCGTAGCCTACTAGAATTAACACTAAACGAATATTTCTGAATTAAAATTTATAATTAAATTAGGCGTCTCGGATTCTTTAACGTTATAAATTTCTGATAATTTCGAATCACCTAAAGCAACAATACCTATTTTTCTACTGACTAATCCTCAATCAACACTATAACTAGCTAAACGTAATAGTTTCAGGATATCGTCATAAAGCATTGTCATGACTTGACAATCACGTAATATGATTGATAAAATTAATGAAACTATTAACAAAATCGGTCAGCAAATTGACTTACAATTATCACTAGTGTTGTTTTTCTTTTATCTTCCTTCATTACAGATGATTACAGTATGTTTCTCTATCGGTTGCTTATTCAGTAAATATCTCAAAACCTTGTCAGTCTAATTGGAGGTTTAGCGACACAATCATGCATGCAAATAATCAGTATAAGCAGTCGAGCAAATCTCCTGCAAACTGAAAACATCAATGTCGAATTTACCCCAACACTGACTAAGGTTCAAGCCATTATCATAGACATGAGTTGGGAGTGTACTCCCCTTGGTTACAACTTATGTACTCCCTGATAATCACATGAGCATCACTCACTATTAATCATCTTGTAAAAACGTATTTGGCCGAGTACATCTTACAGCACCACATCACTTAGTAATGTGACAGGCTTAACTGATTTCAGTAACTTATAATCACCATATCTCATTTAAATCGTATTCTGCCCGCATACGTGCAACTAACTTGTATGCCCATCAGCCGGCAAGTACAAATACAAATAAATAGTCTATCGCAGATCAGAACATTGAGTCTAGAGCATGTCTCTTACGAACACACTCATGTTTAACGATTTTTTCCTAGCTATCTGTCCAAAATCCATATAATTATCACTCGTGTATTTAAATTTTATTTTGATAACCATTCATGTGTATTAGTAGTATTACTAAATTCTATAACGGTCAAGTAAAAATGAGGTTTAGAAAATCTCCCCGGAACTAAATAAACCGTATCAAACTAACTGGAACACTAGTTGGAATTCTTTTCCACGGTATACTTTTGTTCCTTCAGTTAGCCTACTAATACAGATGCAATTGGAATTCAACTCTTATGGACAACTTACCGGCATAATCGTTATCTGATTTCATAATTTAAACCAAAACTAATACCAATATTAACATTGTAAGATCCATTTTGAATGCTTTGTGTGTTCGTGAAAATCCCTCCATGTATATACTTGCACTTTGTTCCTATTGATTCTTTTAGTCGTACAATGTTAACTTTTTGACTACAGTTGAATTGTTAATATTTGTATTTTATTATAGTTTTCGTTTTTACCACACCTTCACTAATTCCCTATGCTTCTTCTCGAACTGCACTTATGTTGTTTTACTTTATACTAAGTCTTGGCGGCAGCCATTTTGGTTTGTTCCTGTTTGTGATTGCTTGACCTGCGTTGACTGGGACTGTGCATTTTTGTTGTGAATTGAAGCACTCTTCCAGAATTGAAAACACTCTGGGTTATAGAGCGACCAAGTATCACCTTTTGAACGAATCTGTACGTGATCTATCCAGACAGGATAGAATAACATTTATTTGTGGTGATTGGTAATTTTCTTGCATCCTTTATCAACGTTCTTATTTATTATAGTTTAGAGTTGATCAATTAAACAATTATTGGTTGGATAGCTGAGTGGTTATATTTGTTTAGGTAATAATGTACACTTAAATTTATGATAAATTATAGAATCGCTATCTTACCCAATTACTTTGTTTTGGTTTCAATCGGGCGAGGGCGCGTATCTAACTCATCCAGACAGCTGTCCAGCAGTCCAAACGTAGTTTGGATCTTACAGTTCTAAACAAATATTTCGTCGAATTCGTTTGGCTTTCGTTTCGTTGATTCCAATCGTCGTCTCTGGGAATATCTGGTCGTTCGCTTCCGATGCCAAACAATCGTCGAAGGAAATTAAGTCCAAGGCTCGTGGATGTTAAAAGAGATGAACAAAAGGATGGTTCCCCCCAATCAAGGCAAGTGCCTTCTGATGCTTCTATGTGTCATGGTTCATATGCTAATAGGGACGATTGTAATTATAGTGAATCTAGTTGTGATATAATGGCAGATGTCATAGAAAACCTTAATTTA